AGGAAACCATCCCCAAAGAATTTGGAGGGATGTAACAGCTAAACCTCTTTTCCCACAGGTCACTGCATTAAAGCAATCAAGGCACAGTTTATGTCTAAGTGCAATAACCATAGGCATAACAGAGTTTTTTTGATGCAGGCAAGTGACCTCTGAGAATCTGGATTTCCTCAGAGGACGAGGAAATACAATGACATTATTTAGGAGGTTGTTAAACATTGTTACAAAGAATTATGAGCCATGTTAAAATGAAAATGTATTTTTAGTTGGGAAAATTCAATAGTAATTAAAGAAAGTCACTGTTTTCCAATGAACGACCTTTAAACCAAAGAAAGAGAGCTCTAAAGTTTATTACTAATGCAAGATTATCCACAGAATATCTGTGAATGATTCCTGCGCTTGTTCACGAGCGGTCATTCCTTCAGCATCCGCAATTCCAGCTGGAACAGTTTTGATTGGAAACACGGAATGCATCTAGCCTGACCTGGATGCAGAATCCTTTCAGAAGTTGGGTTTCAGGTGCCGAATGGTAATGCGGGTTACAAATCCCTTCACTACCCCTAAATAACCTTAATTTCGTAGTCCCACAATTGTTGGTAAATTTAATCTGATAATCCTGGACACAGAGTCACAGGCTTTTTAGAAAAAAAATAATAAATACCTGTGGCTTCATGTTTTTAGAGGACATTTATTTAGATTCCACTTGACCAAAATAGTGCTGTTTCAGCTGTATGGGCTGAAAACAATGCATCCTGGAACCAAAAGAAGTATTGCAGTGCTCTTTGGATCACATTGGGGTATCTGGATCCTTTTAGAGAACTATCTTATTTTCTGTTAAAGACATACACCCTTAAAATGTAGATTGACATAAGCTTATAAAGCAGCTTAAAAACACCTGCCATAGCGACTGAGGGAACTGGGCTTGTTTAGCCTTGAGAAGAGGAGGCTGAGAGGAGACCTGATCACTGCCTACAACTCCCTGAAAGGAGGTTGTGGAGAAGTGGGTGTTGGTCTCTTCTCCCTAATGACAGATGATCGGACGAGGGGGAATGGACTCAAGCTGCGCCAGGGGAGGTTTAGATTGGACGTAAGGAAGAAGTTCTTCACTGAAAGGGTTATCACACACTGGAACAGGCTGCCCAGGGAGGTGGTGGAGTCACCATCCCTGGATGTGTGTAAGAGACGGGTGGATGAGGTGCTGAGAGAGATGGTTTAGTGGCAGACAGATACGGTTGGACTGGGTGATCTCTGAGGTCTTTTTCCACCCAGTGATTCTATGATTCTATGATTCTATAAATTCAAGCTTTTGGCCACATCCAAAGTGACGACAAGAAGTAAAAGGAAGGGGGTTTTCAGGATGATAGTAACGTTTCACGTAATCATGAATTTTGGAAGAACTAAGTTACTAAATCCAGTACGTTCAGAACAGGCCTCTTGATTCCTAACCCTGCATTTAGCTCTTTCAACCAAAAGCCAGCTTGGCCTCTGATTGGGGGCAGAGGGCAGGAGATTTGATGCAAACATCACCAGTTCCCCATCTGAGATGATCAGTAACGCTGGCGGAACCGGAGGTGCTTTGGCTGAGGTGGAGTGTTGTGGATGGAACTGCTAAGGCACGCTACCAGGTCGAGAGGCTCAGTGCTGAACTGGTAACAGAGCGCCACATTTCTAAGTCTTTAGGAGGAGGGGAGCCATGCATTCCATTTGTTTTCCGCTTACAGAGCCTGCTTCTGTGCCCTGTTTATGAGCCAAGTCCCCTAAAGCATGGATGTTGGACTGTGTTTGTATTTTACGAAGCTCTCTAATGTTGGACTGTGTTTGTATTTTACAAAGCTCTCTACGCGAGGTTGCTGATCATTTGATTTACGGTTGTGATTCTCCTGCGTCACAGAATGCAGAGGCAACAGTTTCCACTGCCGGTCAGACATCTGTATCCCAAATAAGAGCGTCTGCAACAAAGAAATTGACTGCCTCACAGGAGAGGATGAAGCTCGAGCTCTCTGCGGAGGTTTCCTTCTGACAGGTGTTTCTGTTTCTTTCCTTTCATGCTGCTCAGTTATAACGAAAGACTACACAAGGCGTATTATTATATTATTAACCAGAGTAGCAAACCCAAAATGCATGCAAGAATTAGTCTTCCCAGTTATGCACATTAGAAAGAAAAGGTTACTTAGTTTTCCTCCTTTTCCTTAATAGCAAGAAAACCAGAGGAAGGAAGGAACAGATGGTGTTTTGGGAGACTTAAAGACAGATTATGTCCTTGGCTTATGTGGCCCCCTATCAAACTGGTATCCCATATATGTGAAGAAATCACAGACAGGGCAGGGAGGAGAGGAATTCAACTAGTTGGTCAGTAGAATAACTCTTCTGTGCTGTTCCCCTCACGGTTGAAAAAGTTTTGGTTTGACATTAGAATGTTTTTTCCTTGCTCTGATAAGAGACAAAGTCTAAAGCCAAAAAGTAAACACTTTGGTAAATGATAACTGGTAAGGGTAAACTGGACCCTAAAGGTAAACACTGCTGTCAGGAACATGGGAACAGGCCCAACCCTCACCCTCCGTTTAGGAACTGAATTCAATGGGCATTTTGTTTGAATAAAGGCTGACAAACCAGATTCTTAAAGCATTCAGTTTACCTCTCGTGCTGAATATTCCCCCTCCCCTTGGTAGAGGAGGCACACAGTACATACAGCATCACCTAAACTAGGAAAAAGGAATAAATAATCCTGTTACCTCATGCTCCTTTGGGCTTTAGAGAGATCCAAAAGGCTGATGGGGCAGGAAGAGGAATTTCTGTTGTTTTCTGGAGGAGGAGAATGAGATATCAAATCAGAGCTAAAAAAAAAAAAAAAAGGCCATTTTTCAGGGTTTCTCTGCAGAGTAGATGGGATGAAGTCTGGAACGAGTATCCACTGGGTGTAGGTCTCTTGTAGGCTGAGGCAGCCAACAAGTGTCTAGCAGGGAGGGAAACAGCAGGCACCAGGCTGAGAGTACTGCTCATCATGTGAAACAGTGTGGTTTAAACAGAAAGAGGGAGATTGAGATGGGATATCAGGAAGGAATTCTTCCCGGAGAGGGTGGGGAGGCACTGGGACAGGTTGCCCAGAGAAGCTGTGGATGTCCCATCCCTGGAAGTGTCCAAGGCCAGGCTGGATGAGGCTTGGAGCAACCTGGTCTAGTGGAAGGTGTCCCTGCCCATGGCAGGAAGTGGGGCTGGGTGGGTTTTGAGGTTCCTTCCAGCCTAAACCATCCTGGGATTCTCACTTAAAACATGTACACAGTGTCACATTTTATGACACAGCATATATGCAAGTAATAGAAGGAATTTAAATGTTTACCAACATTTTTTGTATTTGTTCTTCTACTACAGGCAAAGACAAAGGGGCTGAAAATCTCAGTATGGACAGAGGTAAGCGTAACTAACCCTCCTACACCAACGGCATACCCTCTTAGAGCAACCACCTAGCTGGCCACATCCAGAACACTGAGATATTTGGACTTTGTGCTTTAGTAAAACACACTCTGGGGCTCCCTGTTTGTCTCGCTTTCCACTAATTTCAAGAATGCCACAGTAACTTACCCTTGCTGAGGACCCACATCTGCATGTTTTGGCAACCGGTGGAGGTAAACTCTCAGCAAAGCTGGGGGAACTGCTTGAAAATTATGTGCCTGAATGCCAGCAGCAGTGGAAAATGAAGAGAAATAATGTGATGCTAAGAATCAAGCAATTTTCAAAGCAAATGCCAAAATTTTTGGTCTTTGCTTTCCTGCTACTTCAGCTACTGGCATATTCACAGCACTCAGATAAAGATAAATCTCTCTCCAAATAAAGAGAATGGATTCCTGAATCTGAGAGATGTTTTTCCTTTTTGTTAAAGAAAGAAAAATGCTAAAGACTCTTCTTCCCCAAGTGCATTGCGGGCTTACAAATCACACATTAACCCGACGGAAAAGAATCATAGGTGGACAGGTGGCAAGAAAGGTAAAAAAATATCCTTACCAGGTATGAGTTCATTCAGCATCAATTTAAACGGGCAGTATTGTCCTTCTGTTAAAGGTATGGAAGTAAGAAAATTGCTGCGACACCGATGTCCTGTTCTGCAGCAGTAGTGGGACTGCAGGGAAGGGAAGAGAAGCCCAGTTTGTAAAGTGAAATATGGATTTGCAGAACTGAGCATTACGGTCCACGTACACGTTGGAAATGATTCAGCAAAACACTTAATTCTGTAGCTAGAAATAACAGTTCTGACAAAATGGAATTTAAATTTGTGTCTTTGAAACAGAACAGACTGAGAAAGCTGTACTCGATCACACCAGGTCAGCTCCCTTCCCCTGGCTACAGGGGGTTTTGTGACAGAAAGCTGGAGGGAAGGCGTCGTCGCACAAAGCCAGAAGGTTGAACCAAACAACTGCCTTTTAGAATATATATCCCTTGTATCAGATGGGGCCCAATTCCCAGCTCCTGGATAGCAGATTTTTTTAATTATAACCAGATATAATCAAGGATATGAGGTGATACCAAGAACCCTGTTCCTCGTTATGCACTAAAAGTAGTCCAAGGATGATGATTCCATATTGTTTGGGTGTTTGTCGTTTGAACAGGGCGAATTCCCTTGGCAAGTGGCAATTAAAGAAACTGGCAGTGAAGGTGCAACGGTGTACTGCGGAGGGGTTTATATTGGTGGCTGTTGGGTTCTGACTGCTGCACACTGCGTCAGGTAAAACCAACAACGGGGAAATGATTTTCATCTTGCAAGATTGATTTGGAGATTATTGTCCTGCTTAGCTACCTGTTTGCTAATCACAGAATCCCAGAGCGGTTTGGGTGGGAAGGGACCTCAAAGCCCACCAGTCCCACTCCCTGCCATGGGCAGGGACACCTTCCACCAGACCAGGTTGCTCCAAGCCTCATCCAGCCTGGCCTTGGACACTCCCAGGGATGGGGCATCCACAGCTTCTCTGGGCAACCTGTCCCAGTGCTCCCCACCCTCTCCAAAGCAGGTATTTGGGCAGTGAACAGAAAGACGTAGAAGTGATGATGAGTTTGAAGAGTCAGTCAGATGGTGGGAACGCAGGAAAGGCTCGCTGTAACCACTTTCTTTGCCTGAGAGGGAGGTGCAATGGATCTCCTCTCTTCTCCATCTCTCCCTCGGGGAAGTCCAGGATCTGTTCCCTGGGGTCATATATTCTCAAGAGCTGCCTCGCATTTGCTACAGTTCAGAAAAACTTGGACATCAAGTCCAGAAAGAAACTGTATGTATATAATACACATTTTTATTCTAGACAAACTTTGCTAAAAATGCACAAGTCTACAGCTAGTTGCAACGTGCGGTGCTCGTGTGAAGTACCAAAACATTACTTATTTCACCGTGCTTTTTTTCCAGGGCAAACCGAGTTCACCTGTACCGTGTCTGGATTGGGCTGCTGGATACCATACTGTACGACAAAGAGACAGACACTTTCCGGCTAAACCAAGTGATCATCCACGAAAATTATAACACATCAACATACGAGAATGACATTGCTCTGCTGCAGCTGAAAGGTTTTGGGAAAGGAGAATGCTCCCTGAAATACAGCACACCTGCCTGTATCCCCTGGTCGGAGCATATGTTCAAGGCCGGGGACAGATGCAAGGTTTCTGGATGGGGACTAGAGAAAGGTATTTGCTTCAGTGCTTATTGCCAGACTATGATTTGTAGTGCTTGTTTTCTTGCTGGGGGGAGCTTTCATTCTGGAAAGGTTGAAGAGCAGCTGTGCACAAAGCACTCGGGACAGGCCGAGTGCAGAAAATGTAGGCTGCGGTTCGGCGTTCGGCTGTCGCTCTTGGTTCTCTTCCAGCCGCTAAATCAATTGAGCTGCAGGTGGTTGAAAACCACCCTGACAACAAGAAATGTTCCTTTTGCCAGTCTAAGATTCCTATTAGCTCTGCACACCTGGTAGCGGTATTTAACGAGTGGTGGTTGGTAGCTCACAGGGGCCCACGCTCACGGCCTCCAGCCCCTGCCCGAGAGGACCTGAGCCTCAGCCAACAGTTCGGACTCTGCACGTCTTGTCTGGGCCAAGTTTAGCCCAGAGAAGGTTGCACGGAGATGGATAAGCTGAATGTAATCACGCTTCCAAAGACTGGGGAAGCATTTGTGTTGTACCACAGTGATTACAGCCTGGCGTTGGAGCCACCTGCTTGGGAGGCTGCTGCTGTCCATACTCAGTGGCAATCCATCCAGCACGTGCAACGGTGGGAATTACTATAAACGGCCAGAGAACAAACCAGAGAATCTCCCTAACCTTGTGCAGACCTAGTTCAGCTGTATAACCAATATCTGGCCCACTCAACCTAAAAAGGCAGAGTAGAATTGCAAAACAGGTAACAACGATGCTCAGAGCCACATCCCCACTGCAGGGAAAACAACATACCGGTTTCCCGGTGTTGGAAAACCTTGATATGGAAAACACAAACGCTGAGGAAGACGAGGAAAGGGTGAAATTGTGACAAAATCAAAGTGCTGCACTTAACACTGCAATCAAGCCAGCCTGCTTTTATTGTGAAATATATACAGGCCAGTGTACTGCAGTTCATTTGGGGTTTAAGGCGCCTGGTTTATAACACTGATGATCATATTCCTTAGATAAGCAAATACATAACTTGCAATTCATGATATTATAAGTGTCTACTATGTACTTACTGTTTTCAATTCAGAAATGCTTATTCTTTTCTTTTCTAGGTTATACCAAACAATATATCCTCAAGTGGGGCAATGTTAATTTATTTCAGAATTGTTCTGAAATGTACCCGGGACGATTTTTTAAAAAAATGGCATGTGCAGGCAAGCATCGATTTTCTTACTCTCATTTCTCTGCCATCAAACCCACTGTTTCTAGGGTCAGACGAACCAGCTGGAGCCTAGACGCATCCGCCATTCTGTACCTGTTTATAAACAGAACCAGTTTCTGTGATATTTCAGCACAGGTTTTGAGTGATGTTCTCTAAACACACAGGCACTTCCCAGCCCACCGAACTTCCTACCTTTACTGTGTTTGATTCTGACTCAGCAACTCACTGAGGGAAATGCCTCTCCTAGAGCACATCAGTCCTGTTGACTCGAATGCTCATCTGCTTAGACATTTCCTACCACCACACTGCACCACAGGAAAAACAGGACTAACTTTTCTGACTAAGATTAGTCTGGCCAGGAAACTGGTTGTCACTCCACGGATTAAAACAAGGATTTTGAATACATGGGTTTTGCTTCTCAAATATGAAAGTTAGGGCCAAATACAGGAGTAAAAGAGCAAGGAGTATCCAACTTACAGGGCAGACAGTTTCAAATGTTCTTTAAATCAGAAAGTATATATTGCAGCCCTCCAGTACCTGAAGGGGGCCTACAGGGGTGCTGGGAGAGGACTTTTTACAAGAGCCTGTAGTGACAGGACAAGGGGTAACAGGTACAAATTGAAATCAGAGTAGATATCAGGAAGAAATTCTTCACAGAGAGGGTGGTGAGGCACTGGAACAGGTCGCCCAGAGAAGCTGTGGATGCCCCATCCCTGGATGGCTTCAAGGCCAAGCTGGATGTGGCTTTGAGCAACCTGGTCTAGTGGAAGGTGTCCCTGCCCATGGCAGGGGGGTTGGAACTGGATGATCTTTAAGGTCCCTTCCAACCCTAACCATTCTATGATTCTATGAAAGTAAAAGCAGTATGTAGACAAACTAAAACCTAAAAAGAAAAACAAAAAAACAGACATAAGAGCCAAATAATTTGTGCTAAGTTCAGCATGGCCTCTATAAGGTACTGAGTTTGTCTACTCTGCGAGTTCCTAACTTATCTCCTGGCTCACCAATGTATTTCAAGCGATCACACTTTACTGGGACGGAACAAAGACAGTATCACACGGGACAACATCAGAAAATGGGTATCTGGGGTTAGCTTCCCAACACTGATGCAAATATAAACTTTGGAATTAAGGGCTGATATCCACGGGAGTTAGTTATACAAGCAAAGATTCATTAAACTGAGTAAGGGCAATAAAATCTTGGAGGGAATCATAGAATCCCCAAATGGTTTGGGTTGGAAGGGATCTCAAAGTCCACCCAGCCCCACCCCCTGCCATGGGCAGGGACACCTTCCACTAGACCAGGTTGCTCCAAGCCTCATCCAGCCTGGCCTTGGACACTCCCAGGGATGGGGCATCCACAGCTTCTCCGGGCAACCTGTCCCAGTGCTCCCACCCTCTCTGGGAAGAATTCCTTCCTGATGTCCCATCTCAATCGCTTTCTATTTAAACCCATTACCCTTGTCCTGTCACAGCACACCCTAAATGTTCATGCGCTCTCCTTGCACCTGCCCACCTATGACGATGGTGGTAGAGACATGCATTTTGAGGGCTCTGCCTCTCTTTACAGCTGAGGTGAAATTGGCCCGGGGGTGGAGCGGACACCAAGGGCGGACGCATAGGCACACACCTATTAGGATCGCTTCTCTTGCAGAGGAACCAGCCCACAAACCCTTTGACCATTTCCCTCCCGGTTTTGGTCACTTTTTCTGAGCTACTTCTAATAACATAATACGCACTGCGGGTGAATTCTTCTCTACTGCACAGGGTAAAATGACTCACAGTACTGGTGTCAAAGCAAATGAGGAGAATTTGGGTCAGCCCCAAGCGTAATGAGGCCCCCCACTTACAAAGAAATGAGAAGTAATGGAGCGCAGAGGTTAGGAACCTCCTTTACTGGTGACCGTGAGGCAAATGTCTGTGAGGAAGCAACACGGACCCGAGAAACCTCCCAGCTGTGTGCTACATCGTATGTAAACTTAATTTTGCTTTTCCTCAGGTACCTACGATGGCTCCATAGACAGCTGCAAAGGCGATTCAGGAGGACCCTTGGTGTGTTTCGATGCAGAAAACGTGGCGTACGTGTGGGGTATCGTGAGCTGGGGTGAGAACTGCGGGGAGGCTGGCCACCCCGGCGTGTATACCCAAGTGGCCAGCTATTACGACTGGATTAGCCACCACGTGACAAGGAGTCTCATTTCACGGTACAACATCTGAAGCTCAGAAAATTAAATCAATTCCGTCTCATCACCCACACAAAAATGAACGCGAGGCCTTTTTTGCAATCAGCAGCCCTGTAACTGAACACCCATTAGCACAAATCTTTAAAGAATCCGTTCTGAAAATTCTTAACACTATGAATACCACAGCTTTGCAGGAGCCTGCGGGAAGAGGATTTTACAGTCACGAGTCCGCAGGAAAAGTCTCTAATAAAAGCAGGGAAATTAAAATGGCTTTTTGTCCCTGTTGCTTTGGGGTTTTTTCTCCTCCGCATTTTGTGTTGCGTTTCAATTGCAGCTCTTTGTTTACTGAAAATGGACAACCCTACTGAAAAAATGACTGCACTGGCAACACGTCAAGTTCACCAAAAAGACAGCAACTGGAGTATTTAAAAGAACTTCCAGTGGGGAAGCACTGGGACAGGTTGCCCAGAGAAGCTATGGATGCCCCATCCCTGGAAGTGTCCAAGGCCAGGCTGGATGAGGCTTGGAGCAACCTGGTCTAGTGGAAGGTGTCCCTGCCCATGGCAGGGGGGTTGGAACTAGATGGGCTTTAAGGTGCCTTCCAACCCAAACCGTTCTGTGATTCTATGAACTTCCATCATCCCAAGGTATAGGTCCCTCGAAACCCTCGGGATGCTGCCTTGACTGGCAGCTGTTTCTTTAGGATGACTGTGAAAGGAGACCTCACACCATCTACTCCTTGACAGAGGGACTGTGACCTTGAGATCTGCTGTAACCCAACAGTCACCCAAATAGTAACTCTGGGGGTAGTTCTCTCAGCTACAAACTCAGACAATCATCACCTAGTTAATGTACCTCACCTGATCCTCTAACCTGGGGCAGTTTTAGTAGCTCTAAGCTCCTAGTTTAACCGCAGCTGGTCACAAACAACAAAGGAGTTTTAAAATTGCATCTTCGACTTAAATAAAAACCATCTTTACTACCTTAAGTTCTCTTTGTATATTTATATTTCCAGGATCAAATAAACTCTTCGCATGAAGTAGGGACTCACCCTGTGTATGTGTGTGCATACATATGAATATACATAATTTTTATAACAATATATACAAAGTCACTGCATTATACATATTGACTGAATTCTACAACTCCAAGTTACAGAACTAAAGGTAAAAATGAATACTCAGTCATTAAAAAAAAAACCCAGATTCTCAAATTAGCCCAAGCCGCCTACACCACGTTCGGTGAGTTACGCACACAAAGTACCCGCAATAATTCTTTTCAAGGTACCAGAATGGGGTCTGTGGATTGGTACCCCGGCACAAAACTGTCAGAATGCTGCAGGACCATCTCCATCAGTTCTGTCCAACTGCTTAACAGGTTCAGAACACATTTCACAGGATCCTGATTTACAGATTTTAATATCTGGGTATTTTTAAATATCTGGTTTAATACCTATTTTATTTTATTTCTCTCAGTTAATTATCCTGTCGTATAAATGGCATGGGTTCAGACAACACGATTGCTGTGGTGGTGATTTTAACTCCCCGGAGCCTGCTTCAGACATTTTTACTGTTTAATTTACTTTTCTTTATCTCCCACTTCTAAAAAGTGGGAATTTCAGCAGGGATTTCTCCCTGTCAGTCATCAATAACTCAAGTAAGGGTATGAATGTGCTTCTTGTAATACCTCACCCTATTTAGGAACTCACTGAAGTGTATTTTGCTGAATCAGGGGCTTGGTAATCCCAGGGAAAAGCTGGGCCGCTGTAGGAAGAGCTCCCTCTCTTGACTGACTTACTACCTTCTGTAAAGTACTTCTCTCGCCTATTTCCCCAATTAACTACAAATAATTCAGTGTTGAGACTGAGAGGAAAAAAACAGTAGAACGTTTACCGTGTGTCTTTCTGCTCCTCTGGAGATCTCTGGGGATTTTTTCCATTTCCTGCTCTTCTTTACAGTTAACTTTGTCCGGTATTACTATGTCCTGAGGGATTCCACACGTCTTAAAGCTTCCATTACGAAAGTTAAAATTCCACGCGGTTCCCCTCCAGCTCATCTGTGAAACCACTAGAATTTAAGTATAAAATGAATACATATTTAAATCACAAAACAAAGCCAACCCAGGATGGTTAGCAGGTGAGGTAGTTTTGGTCGGCTTTTTCTTTTCAGCAACCCCAGACCGGGTGTTTCACGTTTGACAGGCCTGTTTTTACAACCCCATCCCGCACGTTCCGTGATGCTCCCCTGCAGCTCAATCACTTGCCTGTGTGAAGGTCACCCTCCCGTTCCCTTCACACGGGCATCACCAGTGAATTAGTTAAAACTTTTAACGCTTCGAGTCCACATTCCCTACTACTTTTTATTCTATTTTTTTGGTCTCTAAACCAGTGCTTTGCAAAAGGTCGTGCTTTTTCCAGCTGTACGAACACCAGTTCTCCCGCCGACTGCACCGAGGTTTGGGATGCCCTCCTGCCCCGGCCAGCCTGCACTCAACCCCCCGCCACTGAGCCCAAACAGCGGTTTTCCAAATCAAAAAGTCCGGGGGGGTCTCCCGGGTTGTGTCCCACGGGGTTTGGGAGAGGTCCCCGCGGCCCAAG